CCCCCTGAAGTCAATCCACTTTGGACTTCGTTTCTAGAAAATTTCTTCCTGTCTGTAAGTAATAGTAAGCTGGCTCTCTAGTTCCTTGATAGTTTCCCTATTAACCTCTGCTAGGTCCCTCTCAGCTTCAATAGCAGCACGGAGTTCACAGATTTGACGGGCCAAATTCGTAGTGCCCTTTCTTGCCCACTCTACGTATTGATGTCGGACAACTTTGAATGCTGAGAACAACTGGAATTGGGGAGTTCCTAAACAACTTGCTAGTGCTGCATAGCAATCTCCTACGCTTCGGCATTACAGCACCACCGGCGGTCGAAGTGGAACCGAGACTTACCCTTACCAGCTCCCGGAACAAATTGCAGCAGCAACATCTGATGGTCTAACCCCAAATCGGTTAGATGATTAACCTGCATAGGGGGTCAAACACCTGCCGATTAGACCAAGTAAAAGGAGAGCCCTTAAATCCCAAATCCACAAGTCCAGTAGAATCAAGAAAGGAATGAAAATGGTCCATGGCAGTGAAGGAAGGAAGGCGACCTCCCTGTTTCTCAGTGGCAAACAAGATACATTTAAAATCACCAATGACAACTATGGGAGAGACACACGACAAGACCAAGGAGAGAATTTCATTGAATTGTTCAACTCTAAGTTGTACATCATAATGAAGATGAACAAAGATAACCCCAATTACCCCCCAAACCACATGCTGACTTTCAACAAATAGGTAGTAAGAAGACTCCGCTAGAACCCGACACCTAGCATTGGTAGAGCACGCTATAGCTAAATCCCATGCCCTTCCTACTACAGAAAAACAATGAACAAAAGGATAACCTAGACACATCAACTTGTTATTTACAAAATCATAATCTCGCTTGGTTTCACTAAGGAAGAGGATAGATGGGGAGAACCGCCCAATGACTCCGATTAGCGAGGGAATTGTAAGGGGAGAGCCCAGCCCAGCCCCCTACATTTCCACGCCAAAATGCTCATTTGGGGGACTGGGACTAGTTCTGGCCGGTAGCCACCACCAATGCTTGAGAGTTCTCCTCTAAATTCATATCCATGCCATTCGTACGAGGGCACTTTAAGATCGGGGAAACCTGTTGCAGATCATGTGGGTGTTCCCTCACCCTTGAATTGTTCCCAAAAGTGAGCGTAGGCCCCAGCTGGAGAGGTTGTTACTGGACTTCCGAACCACCCTCCCCCTGTCGAACCCAGGTGAAGAGTTTCTTACGCATCAGGGTCTTCTCGTTGACCTTGGGACCCTTGACTTGAACCAGGGTGTGCCACCCGTAGACTGGAGCAACACCAGATAGCTCTTCATGGCGAGGACAAGACTGGCCTACATGCCCTAGAATGCCACAGAGAAAGAAAAATTGTGTCAGGATTAGTACTTCACCATCGGTTCAAAATCCCCACGCCCAACAGTTTCGTGGGAAGCAGGCACCGAGATTGGCAGGGGGAAGCGACCGTCAATCCCCACTTCAGCCCGGAGATACACCTCACCGGATTGAGGGATACGATGCACCGAGGGAGAGGAGGTTCGGCCAATCGCTTGACCCAAACGGATGGCCAACTTCTTCGTGCAACACTCAATTGGGACATCCCAAAAGTGAAGACCTAGCGGGACACGCCAGAGTTGCTCTGAAACCACTGATGCAACTGTCACCCAGGGAACGAGATTAACCAGGAACTTTGGGAGGAACTAGAGAGATAATTTCCTGTTTCGGTCGCGATCCGCCACACTTGGGAAGACAAATTGCAGTAGACCATTAGCAGTGGGCTAATTGACAGCGCACCGTGGCACCTCCAGAGACACCCCAGTGTGTGTTGGAGGCTGGGAATCGGCTGGACGTCGCCGTCTTGCCGATTAACCGGCTCAGGAGGGAAAGATTCCTTTGGAGAGCACCAACAGGCACATCCTTGTCACCAAAAACCACCTTGTTGACGGCAACCATGGAGGGAACTGTTGTTCGATTTAACAACCGAAAAGGTAGTTTCGAAGGGGAAGAGAATGCGTACCTATGCACATGCGATATGCATCGATGAACCAGGATTAGGGCTTTAAATAGTCTCATCGGACAAGGTCGTTTCCGGAGCCGCACCTGGGCGGAGTGGCCAGTTACGGTGAGTCGCAACGAGGTGATTTTTTCGATCCCACTCTCCACGATTGAGAGAACAAGGAGGGTTTTCCCCCTCCCAACAGGTTAGTTGTTTAAATCAAACTTTACGGTTTGAAGTATAGTTTGAAAATGTTTAATAAGTGTTGTGATTATTCTTAACAATTGCTACGAATATTTTCACTAAACACATTTGTGGATACTATTAGGGGCAGACCCAAGTGAGAAAATGGGTTGGCAATTGAAAAACGTTAAAAAAAAATTGGACTAAATTTTTGTGTGATTTTTTGTGTGTGATAGTAGTATTTGAATTCAAGACTATTTGACAATCTTTAGAAATTTTGTTCTATAGTTTAGTACTCTTGATCACATTTATGGGTCTGACACTCAATATTATTTTTTTGGTAGAAAACCACTGAAAATTACTAATAGTTATCGTCAATACTTATGTTGTGGTAAAAAAAGAAGAAGTAGACAATTACAATTCATCAGGTAACCTCCAATATTGGTACGAGTAGTACAGCCGAGATCAGCCACAATCGTTGCGTTCGACGTCGCTTCAGATCAGGATTTCCTCGTCGGCCGTCGTCGGCCTTTCTCCTATATCCATCCGCTCCCGGCTACTCGGGCCGAGAATCTGCTTCTGGATCTTCCGTCGTGAGAGTTCCGCGCGGCTGTCACCAACATCATCGCAGTCAACATGCTCTAGCATCGCCAGAAGATCAGGATTTCTTCGTCGGCCGTCGTCGGCCTTTCTCCTATCTGCCACCGCCGATGCCGAGTCTCTGTCTTCTGTCAAACATCATCGTAACCGCAACAACAAAGTCAGCGTCGTGACGGCCAGACTTCTACTACATAACGAGGAAGATATGCCCAGAAAACAAGAAATCACAATGCTGATCTCAAGAAGAAGGCGTCGTCCATCCTTCCCGGTCTCCATAATCGCCGAGTCGATCTCTACAAGTTCGACCCCTGGGAACTAACAGCTTCGTTACAGTTTCGGAGGCGCACCAATACTGTTGGCCGAACTCCGACGGTTACAATTCAAGAAGCAGATACAACTATGACAGTTACACTTTTGGGGGAGGTTCTTCCGCTAATCCCGTGTCAGATAAGAAGTTCACGCACTCACGATGATTTACGATAGAAGGGTCGAGTTTGATGGATTTCGATTTTCACTTTTCTCCACAACTGTGCGCTCCAGCAATTTGCTGCCCAACGCCCTTGTGCGTAGCCGCTCACGGCGTTTCCCCATCTCTAACACCCTTTCCGGTGAGTTTTGCCCATTTTTTGCAGGAGTTGCGGGCTGGGATCTTCGGTGAGTCTTTCCAGCGGGTGACGAGTCTTGCCGACGATCGGCCAGGCTAGTGGGATGCAGTTACATTTTTGTGCAATTACCTCTTCCGTGGCTTCATTCTTGTTCAAAACGCTCCGACCTTCGGACGGTTATAATTTCATGATTGTTAAAATTCTAATGGATAGGTAGTCACAATTCCAAACACGGATCCTATCCTGCATTCAGATAAGTCTATTAATTCTTTCTTAAATTCATATTTATTTATTATTATGTTTACGATTGTGTTTAGTATTTTTTATGGGAGTTGCAATTGTTTTGTAATTCGATGTCTTTTAATGATAGTGAGGATTTGGTTGTCGTCGGACATGGAGTATATTTCTTCTACTAGTTGGCTTTGCCATATTTGTTTTTGTGTTGCAGAAGGCATAGTTTGTATAGCTTGTGAAGTATTTTCGGTGGAGGTCCGGTTGTATTTTAATTTTGTTTGTCCCGTTAGGGCAGGGGTTGTTTGCGTGTTATTTTGCAGGTACCTTGCACATCAAATCTACTGCTAGGCTATTGGAACTCAACGGATTGGTGCTTGAAGGAGTTTGCTGAAAGAAGACTTTCTTTGGGTTTTTTGGTTTATTTATGCTACTAGGCATACTAATAGGGCTGCCCATCGCGTGGCACAAAATGGCCCTTGCATTGGTAGCAAACCGGTTGGTTGACTACCGCTTTTATATTTCCACTGCATTGTAACACTCTATCTATTACAAACTATCTATGAAAAAAAAATACTTATGTTGTGGTGTATGAATATATTGCTTGTTTGACAAGAGAGTTCAGTAATGTCGCTTTTAGGTCTGGCAATACAACTACATAGCTTGTTTAAGTGGCGACAAGGGACGCCACTTCATCGACTCAACTACTATGTCACCAAATATCCAGCTATATTGGTATTTTTTATTTCCGATAATGCTAGGTTGTTTGCTTGACGAATTTGGTGATGATTGATCTAGATCTATTATGAACCTTGTCAAAACTCCATTGTGCGCTTCATGTATTTACGAGCAACAAATTCGTGGGTCCCATAAACTTGAAATTTCACCTCATTATGTAGAAATTGATCATGAATTTTGAAGTCCATTTATGAATTATGACCAACCTATCCTCCTATTATCTTTCTCTTCTCATAACAATGAGGGCAATAATGATTTTTTCCCCACTTCATACACACAAATCTAACTAATACAATCCGTAACGAAATCTATGAAGCAAACACGAGTATTTGTCAAGTCCATAATGAACCCAAAACTATCATATATCCATAGTTTTACCGAATCCAAGTTTTACCAAAACCTATAAACAACTCGTAAAGTATAGGATATTGCTATATTCGTAAAGTGTAAGATATTGCTATATTAGGTTTTAAAAAATGTTTATTGTTGGAAAAAATCTTGAATGAGCAAGGTTAAAACGGCAAAAAACAGATGAATAAAATCAACGAAACCCCAAACTACGCGCGCCCTTGGAGCGTGACTTGTCTTACTGCGGTCTATATTTTTACGCTGTTTAACAATTTCCTCACTCCCTCGCGAGTTCAGTCTTCCCCTTGTTGTTTACGCAGTCACAGACTCACAGTACTTGCTTCTCTCCAGGAAGCAAATTGCTCACCCCTACCCATCTCAATCCAGCTACTGACTCTGGTCGCATATCCAGTCATTCAGAATCTTGCTGTTGTCTTCCCGAAAGGTCGAACCCTAATCCCTCTTCTCTTTTTCCCTTTCTTTTTTTCCCCCACCCTTTTCTAACCGTAGAGGTTCGACTCTTCATTTCTACCAATTTGGTCTCCTGCATGTTCGCAGTCAGGTCATTATCGAGTGAGTTTGCGATAGTTCTAGGGTTTTATGGTCCAATTCATCTGAGCTTGCGATCTGTTTGTTTCTCTGTAAATTTCACTTGGTTGAAAGGGTACTCGTCCTTGGCCCGAGTGCCAGTTGGCTTAACTGGGAACTAGCGGGACGCAGGCTAGTTTGTGTTCATAAACTTCAACTTTCCTTCAATTCGTTTAAGGTCGTTCTGCTTAGAGTGGTTTGTTAAGCGCTGTCCTGGCTCTAAATTGGCTGGGTCTCTCTAGTCTCTTCCATGCATTTGTTGCATTTGCCTCTAGTTTCTTTGGGCGAGTTGGATGGTACCCTTTTGTTTGTGGATGAGAACCATGGTGCTTTATTCATTAAATGCTTCGAGTCTTTGTCTAACCCCAAGATCTACACAGCACTCAACTTCATTCTCGTCCGACCTTTGTACTCTGGTGCTGTTTGCTTTACTATGACTATGCGTTTTGAATGGATTCTCTCTAGAGAAGTTTCGGTGCTTACTTGTGAGTACTTTCTCGGTTTCAGGTTCCACTTTGACAAATTGAAGTTAAGAGGAGATGGAGAACGACTCAGACAGCAGTACGGATATAAGTGACACAGAAATGGATGAGTACAAAGATAAAATTTATGAAGAAATCAAGGAAGGGAAGCATAAGGTGCAGAACCCAGATGAAACTTTTGCTTGCCCATATTGCCCAAAGAAGAGAAAGCAAGGCTACCTTTACAATGAAATTCTGCAACATGCTTCTGGGGTGGGCAAGAGTACAGGTAAGAGAACATGCAAGGAGAAAGCAAATCACCTAGCTCTGGCTCAGTTCCTGGAGAAGGATGTAACTGGGGCATCATCATCCAAATCGGTCCAGAATGGTGCTGATCCTTTAAATGGTTGCAACCGCAATGAGGCGTTTGTGTGGCCTTGGATTGGAGTTGTTGTTAATATTCCTACCAGCAGGGCACCGAATGGGAAATGTGTAGGAGCTAGTGGATCAAAGTTTAGGAATGAGTTAATTACTAGAGGGTTTAACCCAACTAGAGTTCGTCCTCTGTGGAATTATCATGGTCATTCGGGGACAGCCATTGTGGAGTTCAACAGAGACTGGCCTGGTTTGCACAATGCTCTTTCGTTCGAAAAGGCTTACGAGGCTGACAATCACGGAAAGAAGGATTGGCTTGCTGAAAATGAGAACAAGTCAGGTGTTTATTGTTGGGTTGCTCGGGCTGACGACTACAATGCTACCAACATTGTTGGAGAAAATTTGAGGAAGATTGCGGATCTTAAGACCATTTCTGATATCATGGATGAAGAAGCCAGGAAGCAGAATAGTCTGGTGTCCAATCTGACAAATTTAATTGAGATTAAAAATAAACAGGTGGAGGAGATGGCTGAGAAATGCAAGGAGGCGTCAGCTTCTCTCCAAAACGTGATGGAAAAGAAAGAAACACTTTTGCAAGCTTACAATGAAGGTGTTCTCATTAGAATGCTCTGTGTATTTCTTTTGCATTGCATTGTTAGACATCTACAGTTCATATTTTAGTTGCTCTGCTCATGATGTTCTCTTTATTTACTTTCTGTTGCGATTCTAGAAATACGGAAAATCCAAGCAAGTGCGCGTGATCACTACCAGAGGATATTTAATGACCATGAAAAGTTGAAGTCTCAAGTGGAAACCCAGAAGAAGGAGCTTGAGATGCGCCAGTCACAATTGGAAGAGCGAGAAGCTAAAAATGAAATTGATAGAAAAACACTTCTGGAAGAGATGGAAAAGGTAATGTAGATAGTTCTGATCTTACTTGTTCATGTTATGCTGGCTAGGTAAGGTCACCCGTCCTCTACTTTTGTGTTGTCAGCATGTCCACACACTTACATGGATAATAACAGCAGACACTGGGTATGCCTACTCTTTGCTTCAAAGAGCTGAAAGCTAACCAGAATTTAAGACGCAGGACACTTTTTTGCGACTGAATATTTGGCTTCATTAAGTGTCTCACTTCTAGATTCCTAGTTCTGTGGAATTTGATTATATATAGATGACTATATATAGGACGAAAAATTTCCATATGTATAGAAGTAATTTGTTATAACCTTTGGAGGCACAACTTAGAGCTTCATGAATCTTATGTCTGTATGTACCTTTGTACTTGAGCATGGTACTTTTCGCCATGAGCACTGACTTTTCTTCCCTTTGCTTGTCAGAATGCAACTAAAAATAGTTCACTTCAGTTAGCCTCCTTAGAGCAACAGAAGGCAGATGAGGATGTAATGAAATTGGCTGAAGATCAGAAGGTAAGCCCTTTTTATTTCCCCAGTCCTTTCCTATTCACCAGGCAGAAAGCGTAGAAACTAAAACTTTGGTTTTGGCTGTCTTGTTTTAGAGGGAAAAAGAAAAGCTTCACAATAGAATCCTCCAACTGGAAAAACAACTGGATGTGAAACAGACACTAGAGTTAGAAATAGAGCAACTCAGAGGCACTTTGAATGTGATGAAGCACATGGGAGATGATGGTGATGCTGAAATTTTGAAGAAAGTGGAAGCCATTATGAAAGATCTGAAAGAGAAGGAGGATGATCTTGACAATGTAGAATCACTGAACCAGACTCTCATTGTCAAGGAGCGCAAGAGCAATGATGAGTTGCAGGATGCCCGTAAGGAATTGGTCAATGTGAGTAATATTAAAGTTTCTTTGCTCTCGACTTCTTCCATCAGTTTTTCAGTTTGTTCTGGTGGAAGGGTATGTGATACTTCCATTGAAATTAAGTATATTCTTGATGCATTATCTTATCACGTTACATCTTTGATTAGTGATGATACTCAGGGAGGAAAGCAAGGAGTATGTGCTTGTGATATACTGCTTTCCCTGAATTGAACTATATTCAGTTCGCCAATTCGATCCAAGCTCCATATTTAAATGATTTGGTCCTTTGTGAACTGATCGTTGGACATCCTGCAGCCTGTGCCTAAATCATCTTTTATAGCTGATATTGCTAGCGCCTGCTTAACCAATTATATAATCCCTCATTAGACATATTATGATTTCAATTTTGGCTTGGATGGGTGTTGTTTCTATCTTTGCAGTGCTTGAAAGATATGTCAATCCGTGGTCCTATACGCGTCAAGCGAATGGGAGAACTTGATGGGGAGCCATTCCTTCAAGCCTTGAGGAAAAAGTATTCCGAGGACGAAGCAGACGAGAAAGCGTCAGAGCTTTGTTCGCTTTGGGTAGAGTACCTCAAAGATCCAGATTGGCATCCTTTCAAAAGGGTTGTGGTTGATGAGAAGCATCAGGTGTGTGCTTTTTGCATTGCTCTTCTAAGGCATCAAAAACTTGTTTCTCATTGGGTGTTCTTCTCCTAATTCAATTCATTTGTTTCAGGAAATAATTGACGAGGAAGATGAACGACTGAGTGGTCTGAAGAAGCAAGTTGGCGAGGAAGCCTACAAAGCTGTGGCTTCCGCTTTGATGGAGATCAACGAATATAACCCCAGTGGGAGATACATAATTTCTGAAGTGTGGAACTACAAGGAAGGTAGAAGGGCGACCCTGAAGGAAGGGGTCACATTCCTGTTAGACGTGTTGGAGCGACGGAAGATGTGAATGCCGAACGGTACCTACCTGATACTGAAGCTGAACACCCATTTGAATGGTTCCTCATCTTTGTGATACTTAACAAGCATTGATAGTTCTCATCCGGAAACATCATTTTCATTTAACAGGTAACTGCCAAGGCGTCCAGGACACTGGGGAAGGGCGATAGAACTGCTAGAAACTTGTCGGCTCGAGGGCAATCAGGTCATAAACGCCGTCGTGGCTGCTGCGTGTTAGTGTGTTGGTTGGAAATTTATCTTCTTAGCCTGAATGTTTCATGCAAGCATTCGGGTTGGTCTTTTTCTGTACCTTGTTTAATAAAATTTTCCATGGATGATGATGATGTAGTCGACAAAAATTGGAAGAACTGCTGCGAGAGAGTAGTCCCCGTATTCCTGGAAGTTCTGATAAGCAATGATGCTATGGTTACGCTTGGAAATATTGTCTTGTACTCTATGTACATTTTTATTAGGACTGTTTCTGTTACTGAAGTGGAAGCTACTCTATTAGTGTCTAGAGGTAACCACAATTTGCAACCAGTGAAGAGCCCCGACAACATGAATTTCTTAGGGCACCAAGACAGGACAGGTTATTTGGCGCACAATCAAACAACTAACATCAACATTTTCGATTTACACCATAATGTTCACCATGATGAAATGCAAATCACATCACGATGATCGCATAAAACGATAAATGAATGGTTACAGAGTAGACTCTCAGTCTCTCACGTCAACAATACATTAAGCATACTGCTAGTTAGCAGGCCCATGATGGCCCATTGGGCTTTGCCAGAAAGAATTAGAGACTATTTGGTTCGCTCCTTGCTCGTCCAAGAGCAAGACCCAGACAACCTCGTTATCCACTTCCCACCAGACAAACGCTGTTGCTTTTCACTGTTCTCTCGTTAGTCCACCCAAGTTTCCAACGCGGTCGTCGGCGCTTCGAAATGCTCCACTCTTCGCCGTCTACCTAATACATTGCTTGGCAGTTGGCATCTGGTTCTCTCCTGCCGGAATCCGTCATCATGGTGGCGCGGCCTCACGAGAAGAAAACCGGAATTCTCATCTCTATCGTCAAATGTAGTCAAATTAACTGGAAGAGTAAGTTTCCGGGGTAAGATCTTGCTGATTTCAATTTTCATCGCCAGGAGCTCGAATTCCCCCATTCGAGTGAGCTATTGAGTCAGCGACTCCTGCTCTGCTTTTAATTTTGGCTAATCTCGCCCTCGTGCATGCTCAATTCGGTGCTTCTCAGCCGCCGTATATGATCAAATCCAGTGCCTGGTTCGGTAGATTTGCTTGCTTGTTCCTTGGCCCCTGTTTGCTTCTCGGAAAAATTCTCAACGACTGGCGAGGAAATGAAAAATTAGGATGGTATTTTGTCAGGAAAGAGATTGGAATGTCTCGTTTGTGTGCTTTCTTAGCTATGATGAGGCAATTGTTGAATCCTGGATGCTGTGATTTGTTTTCTTCCCTGGTGTTAGGCTGAGGTAAAACCTAGCTCCCTCTTCAAGGTAGAGATCCTTATCTCCCAAGAATCTATTCCTATGCAGTTGCTTCTTAGTCTTCTCTTAGAGATGCTAAACAATCTATAGGCGTGACGCTTTCTCTTTGTGCCTTTCTCCGTTTATTTTTTTGAATGCTTCGACCTTAGGTGTTAAGCTGATTACGAAGTTTTTCCTATGGCTTATGGTTGTTGTCGTAATTGGAAATCAACTGCTGATTGCTTTACTGTGAGAATGAATTTAGTGGATTCTGTTTAGGGAACGTTTCATTCATTCCATTGTTTCTGTTCACTTTCAGGGACCTCTTTGACAGATTGAAACAGGAGGGGAAGATGGAGCAGGATCCTCAGTGCAGTACAGATATAAGCGAGTCAGAAAGAGGCGAGTATGAACATCAGTGTTACGAAGAACTGAAGAACGGGAAATACAGGGTTGCTACTCCCGACGGGACATATTCTTGTCCATACTGTCCCAAGGGGAGTAGGCAAGACTATGCTTACATTGACATCTTCCAACATGCTTATGGAGTGGGCAAGAGTCAGTCAGCTAAAAGGACATGCAAGGAGAAAGCAAGTCACCAGGCATTGGCGAGGTACTTAGATAAAATCATTGGTGGTCCATTAGCAAAGCCAAACCTTCTAATTTATAATCTAAACAAAGAGAATATTCAAAATAATCGCACCGCCTCTTTTGCTTGCCCCTATTGTCCCGATAAGAAGAAAGATTACCTTTTCAATGAGATCCTCCAGCATGCTCTTGGTGTGGCAAATAGTGGCTCTGATAAAAGAACAAGTGAAGAGAAAGAAAATCACCTGGCATTGGCTAAGTACTTGGGAAAGCATATGCCAGGACCATCAGTAAAACAGAAAGTTAATGCTGCTCCAGAGAAAGTGAAAGTTGAAAATGGAGGTCCGTGTTCTTTTGCTTGTCCACACTGTTCCAAGAAGAGAAAGCGAGAAGACCTTTACAATATGTTCCTTAAACATGCTTCTGAAATGGGCATGACTAATTTCGCTAAAAGAGCTTGCAAGGAGAATGTATATCACTCGGCATCGGTTAAAGACTTGGGGAGTGATAAAGCAGGCCCATCAGGAAGGCCAAAAGGTCAACACGATCCTGTAAATGGTTCCGACTATGACGATGCATTTGTCTGGCCTTGGACTGGTGTTGTGGTTAATATTCCTACCGCCAGGACAGCTGACGGGCAGCTCTTAGAGGAATTTAATGGATCAGAGTTTAAGGATGAACTTGTGAGGAGAGGCTTTAATCCCCTTGGAGTGCTTCCGCTGCACAATTATCAAGGCCATTCAGGAACTGCCATTGTAGAATTTGATGGAGATTGGCCTGGTTTATATCATGCTATTTCCTTTGAAAAGGCTTATGAGGCTGATTTTCATGGGAAGAAGGAATGGATTGCTAATAGTGAGGACAAGACAGGCATTTATTGTTGGTTTGCCCGTGCCGATGACTACCATGCAACCAACATAGTCGGGGAACATTTAAGAAGAACGACAGATCTTAAAACAATTCCCGAGATCATGGAAGTTGAGAATAAGATGCATGAAAAACTTGTCTTTAGTCTAAGGAATACTCTGAAGATGAAAAATAAGAAGTTGGAGGAGATGACTCTGGGATGCAAGGAGGCCTCAAGCATTCTCAAGAACTTGATGGAAGATAAAGAAATGGATATTCAGGCTTACAATGAAGGTTTGTCTCAGGACACTTGTTTCTATTCTCTCAGATTGCTATTGGAGCTCAATTTTTTTTTTAACCTCTACCTGAAATTCTTCTTATTTACTCAGTTGTTGTTTCCAAATTCTAGAGATACAAAAAATCCAAGCAAGTGCACATGATCACTTCCAGAGAATTATTAATGACCATGAAAAGCTTAAGTCACAGGTGGAAGCTCAGAACAAGGAGCTTGAGATACAAAGGTTAGAATTGGAAAAACGAGCAACGAAAATCGAAACAGACAGAAGAATGATGTTGCAAGAGATTGAAAAAGTATGTCGTGCGCTGATCTACTTGCATGTCCATACTACACTTAATATTTTGGTTTACTGCTTAGTAGCTCTAAGACTCAGCATGTGTCATGAATGATTAGCCATTCTGTCTTCAAGGAGTTTCAGGACTAGATGTTGTCACTTAGCGGTTTAGGTTCTTGGTTTAGCAGATTTTTGTGTTGCATAGATGCTTTTAACAAAGATATTTCATCCAAGTTTGCTGTTGCTATTTCCTAGCACTTAGTGTGGGTATAAAAAGATAGTGAAATGCATGCCTGTGGTTTTTCCTTTATGGCTCTCTACTTATTGTCTTGGCCCCATCAGAAAGCAGGGAGAAGTCGCTTGCTCCAGACAGCTCACTTGAATGAACCAACTACAAGCGAAGATTTGTTGAAATTATCTGAGGATCTGAAGGTTTCTCACTACTTTCAAAATGCTTCCAGATTTGTCATTGGCAAACAAACCTGCAATTGTGATTTACTGGATTTATTAATGATTTTAGGAGGAAAAGCAAAAGCTTCACACTAGAATCATTCATCTGGAGAAGCAACTGGAAGCAAAGCCCAATCTCGAATCAGAAGTAGAGCAACTTAGAGGTGCATTGAATGTGACAGGGGAGAATGGCGAGGCGGAAATTCTGGAGCAGGTGGATGTGATACTGAAATGTTCGAGAGAACAGGGAGACGAACTTGACAGCTTAGAAGCAATGAATCAGACTCTTATTGTCAGGGAGCGGAAGAGCAATGACGAGTTGCAAGATGCCCGTAAGGAGTTGGCTAATGTGAGCAACATATATCACTGGAATCTGTAACCTTTCTTTTTTTTACCTTAGTTAAGCCTGAGTTAGCAAATTGCCATCTTATGTTTGCTGTTTCCTTGTGTTGGTGTTGTTCATCTTTGCAGTGTTTGAAAGAAATGTCAACATACAGTGGTGATATACGTATTAAGCGTATGGGAGAACTGAACAGCAGGGCATTCCTTATAGCGATGAAGAGAAAGTACAACGGGGAAGAAGCTGAAGTCATGGCAGCAGAGCTTTGCTCATTGTGGGGAGAACATCTGAAAGATCCAGATTGGCATCCTTTTAAAGTTGTAACAATTGCTGGAAAGCATCAGGTATGAGCGACTCCAACACTTCAGTGTTTACATAAACTATGTTCTTCTACTATATCCTTAAAGGACTGTTGTGTAGCGTGTGCGCTGAATTCGTTCAATCGATCGGAGTTTCAGGAAGTAATTGATGACGAAGATGAAAGATTGAAAGGACTGAGAGAAGAGGTCGGGGAAGAAGCTTACGAAACGGTCGCTTCGGCACTAACGGAGATCAATGATTATAATCCCAGTGGAAGGTACATGGTTTCTGAGGTGTGGAACCAGAAAGAAGGTAGAAGGGCGTCCTTGAAGGAAGGGGTGGCCTTTCTATTGGATGTACTTGAGCAAGGGAAAGGGTTGCTTTGAACGAAGGAGAAATGCACAGTTTTCTTTGCGTTAAGATATGGAGGATTGGCTCGTGTTCAGTTCATGAGGTGGTTTTTTATCCGTCGCCGGTTAGTTTGGGTCTTCTCGGCCGGAGAGGTGGCTTATCATTGAGGCATTTCCCCCGGCGGCGGTGTTGATGTAGAGAACATTTCACTTGAATGATGAAATAATGGATGTATTGTGATTAGAAGAAACACAGATAACAACGTGTTTGTCTGTGTATGTATTGTTCCATTGTGTGCCATGCTAAGTTTAATAATAGGGTCATATTACCATTCTACTGATTTTGGTAATGGATTCTAATGCCTGAATTTGGGGAGGCTTGAGATTGGATGATTGGGTAACCATAGATAATGGTAGATAAAAAGTAATCAAATGCTATAGTCGACAAATCGTCAAAACGTTGATAAAAGGGCATTGTTAATTACTAAATGGACAACCATGTTAAACCTGCGAAAGGTAAAAGTGCACGAGCTGTGGGAGACATCCTTCTCCCAAATACGACACCACTAGGGTTTGACAGTCATAGCAAAGTTTGGTAACAATGTTCCTTCTCCCGAATACGACACCACTAGGGTTTGACAGTCATAACAAAGTTTGGTAACAATGTTCGAATTAGTTAGCATTATAGTAATTTTGACTTAATTCGTGATTTAACGGTAGTACAAACATTTCATACTACTAACTATCCTATCAATGTAGCCTCTAAAAAGGTTAAAAGAGGGCTTTCCGAACTGATACGGTGCGGTTCATAAATAACGAAGCAACTAGAACAAATATCTACAGTTGAGTCGCAGCGTTTCGTAGGCGTCGTCTCCATCTCCGTCTTCCTCGCTCCTCAGTCCACTGCTGTACTGATCAGAGTTCCCGGAGAAGCTCCCGAGTTCATCAGGTGAGTCCCATTGTTCAACGGAGCTCACCTTCATATTTGTTACTTAAGCGAACGGAATCTTGATTTTGGCGGTCCGCCGCTGCGTCCTTCGTGGAGACTGATTTTTATTAGTTCAGTTTTTAGTTCCGATTGTTGTTTGGCAAGCCGGAAAATGAAAGAAAATGTGAGAAAGGAGGGAGGAGAAGTTTCGAGAAACATTGTATTTTGCTTGTCCAAATCACTGAAAAACGAGCGCTGGCAAGATCAGAAAGATCGGCTGGCATGCTGGGAATTGAATCACGAGTCGGATGATTTTCCTTCTCAACTTCTGCAGTTTTCCTGTTTGGCCCCAAAAATTTCCGGCAACCAAACGCCGGGTTTCATGAATTTCCCGTCGCTAGTGCAAGACGTGATGATAGGTTCTTCAGGAAAAGAATCCTTTGAAGAGCTCTTAGTGTGTTGTGAGTTATTCAACTGGGTAATGTGATTTCATGGATTGATGTTTTGTCCATACCTCCTGTCCTAGTTCGAAATGGCAGGCTACAATACCATTGAGGAACTCAGGAAAGCTGGGAGCCTGGTGGGGAACCTCGCAAGGACGATTGACTGCAAAAACAAAGATTTAAGGGAGTTGGAGAACAAATACGACAAGGTTATGAGGGATAATGCTCGTCTTCTTCAAGCACAAGCTGAAGGTAATAACGTCTGCTAGCTTTAGAGCAATGTGGGTACTAAAATTGTTTTGTTTGACATCTTGCTGGATAATTTTGAGCCTCTTGACTTGCCATTCCTGATCAACTTCATCCCTACAACTGTCTGAGTTTTCATCTTGGGAATGCAACTCAGTTGTTTCGGTTGATTTCATACTTTGTTGATTCTGATGATTACTAGGTACCAAGGAAATTCAGCTTCTTAAGGCTCAAAACAAAAGTCTGCAACAAAATCTAGATTCTCAGAAGATTGAAATCCAGATGCTAGAGTGTCAAGTTGCTCGCGGCAAGATTGAGAAAGAGCAGGTAGCCGCCATAACCTTTGATTGATCTATCAGCTGATTGAGATTCTGCACAAAGCGGAATTTTGTTGCCCTAGATTTCAGTCTCCCTATGAATGGTTATTTAGCTTCTCTGAGGTTTCTGTGTTGTTAAGATAAAGAAGGGTGCATGCCCTGTGATCAAACTAACATGAGACTGAAATTGTTGAAGGCAAAACTGGCCCCAGAAAGTGGTGAGTTGAAGAAACAGCTGGCAGAGAAACAAGGGGAATTGCACTCACTGGAAGAACTTAACAACACTCTGATTATTAAGGAGCACAGATCTAACTCCGAACTGCAGGCTGCTCGGAAAGAATTGATAGATGCAAGTGCAGTTACATCCAACTCCATCTCATTTGTGCAGCTAGTGTTTAAAGTGGGGATTGCCTGAGGCTTTAATGATGTCTGACCAGTTATTTTGCGATACAGGGATTGCGTGATTTCTTGGATGATCAGAGCGGAATTGGGATTAAGAACATGGGAGAAGTCAATCCAAAAGCTTTTGAAGAAGTTTGCTTGAAGAAATTCCCTGTGGAGTCCGAGGCAAGATTGATGGGGATCTGCTCATTGTGGCAGTCTCAAGTTAATAACTCAGAATGGCGTCCCATCAAGCTTGCACTTATTGATGGCAAACATCAAGTAAAAGAAGCTTCCTCTCTTCCTTAACTTTCTGAACGTCTAGTTGTTTGCCATCGTCACCAATCCACCGGTATTTAGGCATCGCTAACCTGGCAGATGTAATGCCTTAATCTTTAAAGCGCAGCATGGTGCTGAATGTAAAATGCTCTTACCCAAATATCTGACCTCTTGGCTCTGAACTCCAGGAAGTGATAGACGAGGATGACCCAGAACTGAGGAAGTTGAGGACGAAATGGGGCGAGGGGCCTTACAATGCAGTAGCGAATGCATTAATGGAATTGAACGACTACAACCCAAGTGGAAGATATGTAGTTCCTGAACTCTGGAACTTCGAGGAAGGAAGAAAAGCCACGCTACAAGAGGCAATAAAGTCTGTATTTGAACGAGCGAAGACCTTCAAATCTCCGAAGCGAAAGAGATCACAAAGCAGCAGCTTGCAGCTAGTTTAAATTTCTCTTTGAACAGATTGTAGATGTCCAGACTGTCGCTCCCTCTGCATTTATATACCACTGTAGCTCTTTGATATGTTGCCATGACTCCAGACTTCAATATTGTTACTTAGCTATATCGTTAGTCATTAACCATAAAGGATGAAGGCAATAGCCAAGAAGGAGAATATTGTCTGATAATGGGTACAAATTGATCTCTTGCCATTGTCCTAAGTATCGTCTGAAGCTCTCTCTATAGCAATGGTGTAACTGATGCTTCATATCTATACTACATGCTACTGCTAGACAAGTAAACAAATGCTGCAAATAACACCATAGTGGAAATTTCAATTCATGGGCTTTAAATGGAGTCCATTAAGCCTATAGATCCAGAACCACTGACCGAAACACTACTTCGCAAAATAACAGGCCCAGCCCAACTTCAATCACATTCAAACCCTACTTCTCCTTCTCCAATGCTATTAAGCTTGACGGCCACACGAGACGAATCACATCCTTTTCTCCCCTTCCTGCCGCCATTAGGGTTTCCACAATGCTACCACTTATCTTCGCGTTTGTTATTTATATCCTGCAATCAGTTTCCTGGGCAGTGATCGAAAAGAGAGAGGCTTGAGTGGGGGGATCTTCTGATTCTAAAGAGAGGGAAAATCCCATTTCAGTTTCAAGGGTGGAGCTCGGAGATGGCGAAACGAGCAGTAGACGCCGCCACTCTTTCTGTAAAAAGAATGAAGCTTTTGGTGTCTCTCCGTTTCCGCTTTCCTCCGTTAGTTTTATGTCCCTTCAATTTGAAATGGGGTCTCATTTTTCCTCTCCCGCTGTGACGGTCCTATTAATCTATACACTTGATATGAGCTCTGTGATCGTTGTTTTCTTTTGTGCAGGCTAGGTGTTCGGTAGAAGTCTTGTGTGGATTTTTGGGATCGACTTTGTATCGCATTTGTTGTTTTTTAATGTGAGGAATCAGCCTTAGGGCAATTTAGTTGTGGTTCCTTGCTGTGGCGACGATGCACACATAGAAAGCTCGGTTCTTTCTTTGTTCTCCTCCATAGGGAAGCTCTCGAGCTGTTGTCCCTTTTGGTTGGCGAGCAAGGTCTGTTATCGGGCAGCGGCCAGACAACCGTAGGGATGGTATCCACAGATGGCGGGTTCCTAGATCCCGTTTGTCTACTGATTCCATCTCACATTTTCCTTAAAAAGTTTATACTCAATATCCTCAACTGGTTTTCATTCATGTTGGATGAGTCATTTATTAGGGGTTTTTCCCCCCTTTTTCCCGACTGTCGACTTTTCCTGCTGTGGCAGAGATTAACTTGTTTTCTTCGTATTTCTGTCCCAATGATGCGATTGATGTTTTTATTAAAGTAGTGGACTGATTATTCATGTTGATGAAATTCATTTCTGAGGGAATTGCTCGATTCTGTGTTCGGAGGAGAGCTGCTCCTCTCTTTCCCACAACTTATTCTGAAATTCTGGCGTTATTGCTGTTATCTTTTAATCAGGTGATGAATACGGATTACATATCTCACGACGGTCGTCTGAGACACTTGAAAAGGTGTTGTTGCTGATTAATCCATTATTCTGATGATTCTTTTATCATAATTCTAAATAGATTTTGTCAATTACTCGAATCAGTTTATTGCCTCTTTCAACTATGTTTGTTTACTATAGTAAGTGCATACAATTTCCAATGTTTGTTGACTATGGTAAGGGTAATACATTTTCCTAAATATCGTGTTATTGTAAGTTATACATCCTTCTTTTTCTTAGGAAGCTGCAAGTTGCCCAGTTAGAAACAAACATCTGCTTAAGTTACTGTGTTTCAGAGGTTTCATTGTTGAGCAATGCTGGAGTTGGGTTTTGCTAATTTTGCTGCTGGTCTACAGACAGGACTCTTCTCTAATGACTTCATATATGTATTATTGGATTCCTGCCTGCCTGCTTTTATTTTGTAAGAATGAAGAACAGCTGGGCTATCGTTTACACAATCTGTATATTGTCATCTATAAATCTTTGGTGTTTGCACTGAGAGATGATTATACATTTATACTGTTCTATCCTCGTAGCGCGATGGAGAGCTTTGTTCGGAAGGAATTCAGTGCCATTACTTCGTGTTGGATTAAATACCACGGATTAAATACCAGTGACCATGACATTAAATTGTGTCATGTTTAGTTACTAGAAAAATTTAATAGAAAAATTTAATATTAATTTTGCTCACTTAAATTACTAACATAGGTCACATTTATTCACTTTCTTGTTAGCTTTTGGCCAATTCCAGTCTCGAGTTATTTATAACATGTAATATTTAGGCACTCAAATTATTGAACTTACTCTTATTAGTCATTTTACTGTTAGTTTTCGTCGAATGTGAAATGGAGTTGGATGAAAACTAACGAGAGAGTAGTAGACTCTCTTAATGAAATGAAGTTGGACAGGAAACTAATGAGAGAGTGGCTTAATTGACTTGCTTTAGTATTCAATTGATCAAAGTTAAAAAAAAATGCTTTCTCTCTCTTTCCCTCTCTCTATCTACCACTCTCTCGATCCAGTTCTTCAAGCTCAATACTCTACAGCCTTTACAGCTGCTATCTATGGAGCAATCAATATCCCCACTTCAAATTCCAGTAGATCAATTAAGAAGAACTCAGAAAGTAATAGGGGAATAAAGAAGGAGATTCGCAACATTGAAGAGGAGATCTCACAGCCCACACCCATGGCCAATGAGCGGAGTATCAGTACAGGAGGAGAGATTAGAAGAGCCACAAATCCGCCGCCCAAACCATTTGAGAAGAGGTCAATCAACAAGTAGAGAAGTAAATTTACAACCGACAGAGGAGATTTGGGTATTAGTAAATTTACAACCGACAGAGGAGATTTGGGTATTAAAGGTTGGAAGAAAGAAGTAGCAAACATTAATGGCAACCTCCCTGCTACTTCTCTCTGACTTAGAGCAACAAGAGGAATTTACTGCTGCCGAGCACTTGAGACAGGGGGAAGGGGAGGAAACTCTCCGGCAATGATTAGAACTGACTCTTACTTATTACTGAAGAAAGAGTCTGCAGGGATATACCGAACAGGTATTAAATTCACTGACCAAATTCACAAGTCTCAATACACAAGGAAGGAGCAGAATGTAAGAGAGCTTACCAATAGAAGGAGTAGCCCGGCGGATAGCTGCTGCCATAAATGGCTAATCCAAGGTAAAATGGAAAAGAGGAGAGACGGGGAGGGGCAGTGGAGATGACAATCAATGCAGAATGCATTAACTATTTCAGAGAGATCCTATTCTCAACCATCCAGAACCCCTTCGGCCTATAAAAGGAATGCACCAGATGAATCAACTTCATCAACAAATCTCCCAAACACAAAGTCAGACAACAGACTTCTTGTCACAGTACAAACCAAATTCCTCACCTTTTCTGGCAAAAGTGCTAACCAAAATAGGAAAGGAGGAATGGAGAATCATTCAAAAAGCCCGAGGGGAGAGAAGAGTCACCTGATCTTGAACGTGAGGCCGACCATTGTTGGGGCAAGAGGCAGTGGCTTGGCAATGTTGTTGGGGAAATGGATCACTGATGTGAGCATTAACCTCCCAAAAGCAAGAAATGCCGCCGTCAACAAATGGAGAGCCTATGGGGAAGTCCAAATCACCAAGAAAGACGAAAATCTCTTCGTCTACTCTTTCCAGTCAGCAAAACAAAGAGATGTTGTTTGGGAGGCAAGGCCATGGAATCTGAGCAATACCCTTGTCGCTCTGAAGAAATGGGACGGAGAGTAAAAAGCAGAATCTTCCGACATCACCACGGTCACCCTCTGGGTCCAGATGCATGATCTTCCACAGTCCCTAAAAGATGAGGAGGTAGTACAGGCAGTCGCGGCTTTCATCTTTCCCCAGTTCCATTGTATTGATCAGTCGAACTTCGACTTCAGAGGCTGGTTGAAGTTCGTCAGAGCAAAGGTGGAGGTAAGTATCGATGAGCCCATCCCGATCGGCTTCGAGTATCCGGTGGGGGAGAAATCGATATGGGTGAGTTTCAAATATGAAAGAATCATGGACTCTGTTACTTTTGCGGGAGGCTCGGCCACCTCATCCACAACTGTCCTGCAATGGAGGAACACAGAAGGAAAGGGTTGAGTACTGATCCATCGGAGGTGTACACTGATGCGCTTCGGGCCGGACACGACTCACCGGCAAACACCCCACCGGCATCGTTCAGAGAAAAGGTGGCTAACTCACGCCGCCTGACAAGTCAGAACACAAGGAGACAGCAGATCCGCGGTACCCGAGGGGAATCTTCTCAAGTCACCCTAGCAGGCCTACCACTGCAGGGACCTTTTCCATACCCACCGGGTTATGCCATCCTACCAAGCTCTGGGAGAGGATCTGACTGGGTCTATAGAGGAGAGGGAGTCAACCCCACACCTACCCTGCAAACAGCTTTTCTGGAGATTGAAATGGAGGCGACGACAAGAGCGATGCAGAGGAGTCTCGACCTAGGGGAAAAGAAGGAGATCGGGACAAGTGGCGGGCCTGTTTGAAATGGGCCAGTCCATTACCCTGGCGAGCCCATCCTACACACCGACTTATGCGTCCCCCATTCCATCGGCTATGGATCAATTTAGCCAAGTGCTGATTAACCCGGCCCAAACCCAGGGCCCAATGGCGGTTTCAAGTACGGCAGCAACGAAGGAAGTCGTGACCAGGCCTGAGAAGAAAAGGAAGCCCGAGGAACGACCCAGCCTGTCTAACCCAGTCAAGCAACAGGAAACACCCACTAACCTATCTTTCGATTCTCTGTCTTTTGTGCCAGGTGAAAATAGGAGAATTTATCAAAGGAGGAAACATAGCATCAGGAGGAAGAGCTTGGCAGAAATCACGGCAGAAGGATGTCAATCTGGAGAAGGGGAATCAACCACTCGGAGGGCAGCGGCGGCAGGCCTAAAGCCGCCTCTCCAGGAATGAGAATCCTAAGCTGAAATTGTAGGGGGTTCGGCCAGCCTCTTACAAGAAGCTATTGCGGCAGACTCTGTCGGCAATTCGGCTCGTCTGTGGTTTTTCTAATGAAAACGAAGAAAGATGACTCCTTTATGGAGGGGAGGAGAAGACAAATGAAGTTTGATCACTCGGATTATGTTGGTACGGGAAGGGAAGGAAGTGGACTAGCCCTTTGGTGGAAGGAGGATGTCGAAGTTGTTGTTTTGGATT